ATTAAATAAACAACTGTAGTACCCTTTGAGGACTTACCTACGTGAGAGGAACCGTGATGGCCGCGGTTAGGGGGGGCTGGGCTAACCCCTAGAAACTCTCATGAGTCGGTTTATTATGAGCATGGCCTTTAACGCTCAACCCGCTTTGCTCAATAGATGAAGCGTATTATGTGTGTTTTCATCAATACCTGATTAAAGGGGCCTAATTCAAGGCCTAGTCCATTATGTCTCTCAGGTGGCGATGAACTCACTAAGGAAAGGTTCAAAGCCGGAAGCTACCTCTCCCGAATTCACGATACGAAAGGTTGCCCAACCTATATTTGTTTTATGATTTCTTGACTTATTTATTGATTTCTGAGTCTTCAGTCAATATTGCCTTTTGGGGGGGACTGTTAGATATTTTGTTAAGAAAAGATAATTTTGCCTTCATGAATAGTAATAAAATTTTATAATTAAAACATGTTTTAATTAGCAATTAAAAATATGTGTAACGGCTATATAATTATGGGGAACGTTACAAAATTTATGACGAACGTTACAGAATTAATTACGGATTTTGTAACTTCTTTTCCAACCCTATATATATATCCGTATGTTGAGCTCAAAATGATAAGAAAAAATATACAACAAGTTTCTCTTGTTTTTATTCTCTCCCCTACATATTATTTTCATCTACATCTTTATTTTATTTTATGGGCAACTTTCTTCATCTGAGCTGAAGCTCTGCACTCTCGCCCGAGTGCAGAGGTCGGTCATTTCCGAGGGCTTTTACCGCTAGGGGGGATGTAACCATCTGCGCCAGGGCGATAGGCGGGTTCTCAATCTTCTAGGGCAGTGATTACACGACTGCTCCCGTCAGGCCTGAATTTCATACCTCTTGTTTATTTTAATTTCGGATTTACTTCATGCTATAATCTTAATTATTTGATAATTTTCTAACAACATTTAGATACTAAATGTGGACTAACGCCATCATAGAGGTTATATATGCAAAAAACGGAAGCTTATTGGGGGATTTTTGCAATTTCAATAGTTATAAGGGGTTGAGGGCTTTACCGCAAAAATGCTGAAGCCACGGGTGGTTTAGTGAGATTTACCCTATTTCTAACGTTGAAAATATTCTACAACATTAAATCTGGAGGATCAAATATTTCAACCGTCAATGAAAATAATAATAATAAAATAAAATATTGATGGATAGTTGAAATTTTAGCAAAACTATAGTAAGACCACCCGCAGCAGGTGGTTTTTGGGAGAGTTTTTTGGTACAGCAGGTAGTTTTTGGGATAGGGAAATGAAAAACGGAGGCAAAGAGGGGAAAATTTTCCCTACCGTTTTCTCTGCACAAATCTGACTCAAGCGGGCCCCACCATACAGCAGCTGGAATTAAAAAAGAAAGGAAAAAAGCGTGGCCCAATCAGAGGGCAACACGCGTCCGCGTGCAGGGCTGCTGACAGCCTTGTCCTGCACGCGGACGCGTGTTGCCCTCTGATTGGGCCATGCTTTTTTACCTCATCCTCAATTATTAATTGATATTTTGACAATAATTTACTCAGAATTAATTTTTTATTTTTGCACCATAATTCATAATTTTTTGAGCTCTATAAATAGAGCCTAACTTTGTATTATTTGGACACCAAAAAAATTGAGTTTTCAACACCCTATTTTCCTTCCTTTTTTTTCTGAAACTATTTTCTTCAATCTTCTTCATGGAGCCATCACAAAACTTTCCTAATTTCCCCTTCAATTACAACTTTCCTAATCAACCTCAACATCCAAATATGCAACGCCCAGAAAATAATCAAAATACCGGGATGCAACCCAATTTTCAAATGCCCTATATGATGCAACCAAATTTTGGCATGCAATACCCTTATCTTCCTTATGTGTATCAACCATCTCCTAGAAACAGCTATGTTCCTTCCCATATGAACGTTCCAAATCCGGAGTCGAGCCAGCTAACGACTCCTCGTTTCAGTAGTGGATCGACAGACATCCTAGATTTTTCCTCCCAGGTATCTTTGGGAAATGTTGGTGGGGATACTCCCCATAGTTTTCTACCTCCAACCCAACAATCAGTCAAGAAAACTACTTACGATACTTGGAGCACCGAAGACAACATCCTTTTGCTAACCAGTCAATTCAAATGCCCTAAGGAAACAAACAGTAATTTTTTGCCAAACAACAAGAGTCATGCAGGAAGGACGTGGAACGCGCATTCGGGGTTCTCCAGGCACGGTTTGCTATTGTCCGCCAACCAGCTAGAATGTGGGACCTTGATGTCTTAGGAAAAATTATGAGGGCGTGCATTATTTTACATAACATGATAGTAGAGGATGAACGAGATACGTATTCCCGAAACTGGGAAAATCTAGACTTCGAACAGTCATCAGGCTCTAGTGCCTCTTTCAATGTTCAAACAGAAGTATTGCCTGAGTTTCAAGTGCATGTTCAAGGCCGGTCCGATTCGAATATTCCGACTAGAGCCGAGCTGCGAGATAGGGTCCAACATATTCAGTTGAAGAAGGATCTGGTCGAGCACATTTGGCAGAAATTTGGAACAACCCTCGATTAGATTTACCAATTTACTATGTGTTTTCTTCAATATTTTTAATAATTTGTGTATGTTTGGTATTGGGTGTGATTAATAATATCATGTGTTTTGTTTTTATTTTTTTTGAATTTTTGATATAAAAAATTAAATTAAAAATATATTATTAATTATTATATATTTTTTATTGCATTATTAAAAAAATTAATAATTATAAATATATGAATAATAATTTTAATAATAATAATAATAACATATATCAAATAGGAAAAAAGAAATGAATAAATATGGTGGAGAAATATGGTGGGGTATATGATGGAGACATGTGGGTCCCTAATAAAGTAAAAAACTTTCTGAAAAACTAGCTGCTGCAGGAATGGAAGGGAAATGGGTGTTACTGAATGATGTGTTGGATGAATAAGCTGATGTGGCATGACAAAATAGGTAAAAATTTGCCTACCTGCTGGAGATGGTCTAATGATGCAAATGAGCATTAATTGTTAAACAATGCCACATCTGCACAAAAAACTGAGGCTACAACTGCAGCTATAAAAGGCGCGATAAAAAAAACTGCAGCTATAAAAATTTGCAACTACGCTGATAATTTATTACGTGTTCAATAAAATTTACGTTAAGGGGATTATTAGTTAGTGTAATTTTGGGATAAGTGGGATAATTTTTGGGATTTTGCTTTATGGTGTTATTAATTGAGACAAATGGGATTGAGATATCACTTTGAAGGGTTGTTCATTCTGATAATTACTCCTACTTTTCCTCAAACTAGTAGTGAACACATATATCATTTTTTCCCGTTACAGTAATCCCGATTTTAAATACTACAATAATATTTTTAATTTTTTGCATTGCTGCAGTTCCGCCTCTGCTCCAGATTTTAAAAATGCTACAATATTCTCGTGTACTACAGTGATATTTTTTCAAAAAATGCTACGGTATCCAGTTTCATGTTTGCTACAGTAAATGCTACTATTTTTACTGTATCATGAATAATAAATCTTAGGTTCTCCCATTTGTATAGTACTGGAGTAGATTATCTCACTTCTATACAAACTCTTTATCCCAACTTCTAAAAATTACTCTATTCTTAACTTTGGACAATCATGAGAAAAGTGAGATAATTTTGAAGCATTAATTTATTAAATATCTAATATATGTTAACTGTATTATAATATATAATATATTTTAATTATGTTATATTATAAAAATTTTCCATAAGGTAAGATAATAAAATATTATATAATACTATCTAATATAATATTATTATATATAATTATTACATATTAGTTAATAATATTTCATATATTATAATATTAGTATTATATTGTTACAATACTGATTTATATTATTTAACATATATTTATTAGTTAGAATAAAAATATTATTGTAGTATTTTTATGATATAAAATATTATATTATAATTTAGTGTTTATATATTTTAGTTAATTAGTAATTATAATATAGATTATTATATCAAAGTAAAATAATATATTATATTATAATAACATATCAAATAATATACTAAACCGATCGGATAAATTAGTTTAGACTTAATTGATAAATAAATGTTGTATTTTAATAAGGTGCCACATCATCAATTATCCCACGTAAATTTTCAAATCAAAGCTTTAAATTATCTCATTATCCCAACTTGTTTCACTACCCCACTCAAAATATCCCAAAAAGATAAAATTGTTCCATTAAAATAATTATCTCATTTGGTCCCAACTTGTTCAACTAATGACCCCTCCTAAGGATATTATTGGTTCACATCTCCATATACAACCATGTACGAAAAGGGATGTTTTTGAACAAAAAATTGAACACTAGCATCATAAGAAGCAAGGCTGCGTTTGGGAACATGGATTTGGGCCTTGGATTTCAAATCCAGGGTATTTCAAATCCAAATCTCTAGTTTGGGCTTTTAATTGGGCTGAAATTTCAAATCAAATTATTTGAGAGAGGAGAAATTGAAAGCCCAAATACAGATATTTCAAATCCCACCCTGCCCTTTGGTATTTACCAAATCCCGATCTCATTTCTCAGCCCCCAATCCTGACTCTCAAGTCTCCCTCAGCGCGAAACTTCTCTCTCTCCTCTCCCCCCTTCTCCTCTCTCATCGAAACCCTACTTCTGATCTAGGGTTTAGGTCTTCTCTCTCCCCCTGTTCCAGCGAAACCCTAGATCTGATCTCTCCTCCTTGGTGCGTGCTCCCTCTTCTGGGGTTTTAATTAATGGCGCAAATTTTCTTTGATGCCACGACCGAGATGTGCGAGGCGTGCCCCCCCGCTCCGCGGGCGGAGGCGGCCGTTCAAAGTCATCGTACGAGTCGACGCCACAGAGCATTGGCTAGTGAGTTCAGCCATAAGAGGAAGAAGCTGAGATCTCAAGGAATCGATAGGGATTGAGTGGATGGGATCGGCCGGTCTGTCGAGACGTCCGTTCGTGGGCGGAGGAAGGAGATGGAGGATGCTGTATCCATTTCGGCCGGATTTTGCAAAGAGAAGCTCTGGAGTCGACGTAAAGCTTCATTTTTTTGGTGTTTTTGATGACCACAGCTGCTCTCACGTGAGTTTGCTAAATTTTTTTACGGATGCGTTCTTATCTCTAATCTTCCAATTTTGCTGATTAAAATACAAGCTAACCATTCAATCTTATCCCATATAAATCTCCTTGAGGGGAGGGCTTACGGTTGTGATCTATCTCAAACAGGAACATCAGATTCATATTGTTGATTATTTATTAATTATGTTATTAGACCTTCTAAGTTTCACTGTCCATTATCTACAAAATAACTACATACTAGATCAATACCTAAATGACATCCCATCCTAAGTTCAACTAAAGAAAGTAAGTCACTCATTCACCAAAATGTGAGATTTTTATAAATGGTGAAAGGGCAGCCATAAGGAGAGAAGCCCTTTATCTATGCTTCATAGGAGACTACACAGAGCAGTGTAGCCTTCTGCTAATCGCATGTTTTTTTGTTCAGTTCAACTAAAAATAACTTTTTGCTATCAGTAAGTTTCACGCATGGTGTGAGGTAAAAATTTACTTATTAATTGATGATGTTCAACACATTTTTGATAGAAATTAGAAGTTCAACCATTGATACCCATATATCTGATTCTGAACCAAATTGGACTGTGTGCAGGTTTTGGAAGGAAGGATTATCTCGTAGGATTTTGCCCTACAGGTAGATAAATCCGCATCATCCAAAGTTACTGTATCATACTATCATGTGAAAATTCTATGTACCGTGCATTTCCGAGTTTTTAAATTTTTCCTGTAATCAGATTCATTTCATTACCATTTCATGTAGAATAGTATTTAAAAAAAATCTAATTAAACTTCCAATATTATAGTGCACAGATAGACTTAACTCAAATAAAGAATCACTCCTTTTCATCTAAACTGGCAAAATCTAGCCATCCAACTTTCATTTTGTTGTCATATCACTATTTGCTTCATTTTGCTGCAATATCGAAATTTGGTTTTATGAGTTACTGGACAAGAATTTTGCTTCTTATGTTTCATTGGATATCTATGTGGTTGGTCGGTTTAATATATTAGCATTAAGGACATTTGTCTTTATAATTAATTGAGCGTTATTTCATCCTGAGTGTTGAACTATGTCACTTACAAGATTTGTTTATATCTTGGTCTGGTCTGTTCTGACATGTTTATACGTATTTGCTTGTGATGCAGATAATGCTAGGGTTATTATGAACCCAAAGGGAGAAATGAAAGGTATATGTCTACATCCTTTTCCCATGGATTATCGCTTTTTTAACCATCTCAGCATCAGACTCTATTTTGTACATGCATTGTTGTTTGTAGTGAAAACTGTAATGCATAAATTTGTTTTTGCTTCTTTATCTAATATATATCAATCGATGTTTTCTGCTTCTTCAGGATCTGCAATTACTGGACCAATTGGAAAGGAGTGCGCTGATTTATGGCCTATGATTGCTAGTGTAGCCAATGCCATTGTGTAATATCTAGATTTTTCTTCAGGTGTCAGTGAGGAGGAGTAGTTTCATGTTATTTGTTATTGAAAAAAGGGAGTTTTTTAAATATGGATCCATATTTGTATTAGATGTTTTTTCCCGTGACGTACATATATTGGAATTGATATTCTGGGATCCAGCTGATGGTAACATTGTTTTCCTTTTGATATGAAATTAAATGTGATTGTTTGAAGATAATTATTAATGGTGATGGTTTGAAGATATAATGATTCATATATTATATATTATTTTTGAAAATTTATTAATAAATAAGCTACTGGAAATCAGGCCCGGCCCAAGAGGGGGGGGGGTAGGGGGGGCGACCGCACAGGGCCCTGCCTAAGCCTAACTGCCTAACACCCATGACCCATCTGATTTACATTTTACCGGAAATATACACCAATTGGTACTACAATTATGATTAGTTGCTCATTTGTCTCCTAAAGTTTAGGAAATTCAATTTGAACTCATTAATTCCCAATTAACTATTCCTTATTAACTAGGAAACACACCAATAAATATAATTCAATAAATTTATAGTTCAACATTTATATAGAAGAGGGCCTCATTTTATCATTTCGCACAGGGCCTCAAAAAAGCTTGGGCCGGCCCTGTTGGAAATTTTGAAGATATTTTGTCAAACTTCTCAAATGAATAAGTCTAACAAATGAAACGAAATATACCAATGTTTATTTTTATTCAAGTAAATAGGTAAAGCCTAAGTACGCTTCGTTTATAATTTGTAAGTCCCATTCAATAGTAAAGCAAAGGAACGTAGGGTTAGAACTTGAGTTCGTGAGAATCCATGCCCATTTTAGGGAGAGAAACTTTTTTCACGTGTAAAGGAATGTTAAAAAAAAATTATATGTTGCTTTTTTAGAGGAGAAAAGTATTGGACCCTACTAATTCCCCAATAATCAGATATAGAGTGGTCATGTGTGAAGGTAAGAAGCATAGGTGATCGTTAAATATAAATCATATTACAACATTACTCTGTACAGAAAGCATTTGGCTACACTCTAATTTAGAGCGCCAAATTTCTAATAACTTTTAGAAAAAAAAACTCTTCAAAGTAAGAACATCGGAGTCACGTGACCCCACTTTAATCAAGGAGGATCAAGAGGCACTTCCTAAATCCACCCAACAACAAATTCGCTCTGCTAATAAAATAAAAAGATGACCCTACTTATAAATCATGCACCCCATTCCAGTTTAATTTCAACTTCCCACGAGAACCTACCCAAGTAAAAAGTGGAATTTTTAAAAAAATCTCTTAATTTTGAGGGTTTTTTGGACAACTCCCCATAACTTTTAAATATCACAGAACTCCTATTAAGTTATGAGATTCTTAGAAAACCCCCTTCAACTCTCAGTGATTCTCAAAAACCCCAAAATTTCACAAGTAAAAATATCTCACTGCCGTATTTTTAACCGCCCACGTTAGATTTTTGCGGTTAACATCATTAAGGTTTTTTCTTGAAATATATTAAAAATTGAAGGGGACATCTGAGAACCCCAGAATTTAAGGAGGATTTATGATAGTATGGAAGTTAGGGCAATTATTAGAGAAACACCAAACTTATGGGGATTTTGTTTATGTATTTATCTACTAATGAACTTATCTTTCAATTCAAGTTGATCATAACCCGAGAATCCATTACTAGTGACATATTTTGAGAAAGATGTATTTGATAGTGTTACTAATGATGCGATTATAAACTTTTTTTTTTTGAAAAATATGAAAACTCATCAAGGGCAAATTTAATTTTTTTTAATATTAATTATGTAGTGACACAATTTTCAAGAATCCTTAGATCTGCCACCGGTTGGAACAATTGTTATGAAAAGTGTTCTAATAAAATTTATATTTTTATATGAGTTTCGTGTTACAATGTACTCCAGCGTATAATGGTCTCAGCATATTTGAAGAATTTTTATCAAAATCCCAAAAATATGTTAAGTTTTTTTTAAGGAGAGTTCTCATTTTTAGCCGTGAATTAACGTAGCCAACAAGTTATTTACAAGAGTCATGCTATGTAAATTATATTTCGTGTATCGACTTCATAGACTACACACTATATATATTTAATTAACATATAGCCCCTTGTGCATTTGTAAACCGTATATATGGTTAGATACTTCGATTAGGAACACAAATAATGAAAGTCGAATTCAGATGAGAATTCTTCATTCAAATGAAGCTATCATACAATTGCAAAAATATACAATACTGAAGGTTTCCTAGCTCACAGCAAAGGCGCTCATCAACTTACGACGGTACCACTCACTTCAGCGTTACAAGCACAACCAAATCCTTTTCTCTTGTCGATGATGGGATCCAACACACCGAAGAACTCCAAGAAACATGGACTCGTCACAAGGTATGCGTAGCTTCGAATCCGGGTTGAACTCGTAGACCTCTTGAGCCCGATCCAGTAGAGCTCTAAACATAGGGTGATCAAGAAAGGATACATGGATCACAAATCTTTTACGTTCTTCTCCTACGTAGACTACTAAATGTCCCTTCGGCACATCTTTAGGGATCGAGAATTCCTCGTCATTAATGCTGCTTCTGCTCAGCAGTTCCCAGCGTCGATAGTCACGTGCCAGTGCCTCGATGCTTAGTTTCCTCCATTTCCTTAGGAATGCTTGGAGAAATCGTTTATTGAAGTACATGTTCATCGCAGATAGACAGACAGAGGAGATTTTTGTGTTGGGTTTGGGACAAGGGCTAGCGAGCTTATATATATATAAGTCAGGAGGTGGCTAAGGTTTTTTTTGGAGCAGTAAATGGATAAGATTTGATAATGGTATAGGAATAATAAAAGCTAGCTAGCTAGATAATTAAGGGAATTAATAATGAGAGATGAGCTAGTGTGAGAGTTAACATGGGTTAATTGTTGGATAGCTGTAAAGCTTTTGAATTGAAGAGAAGCCATGTTGAGGGGGAGTTGATCATTAATCGAAGGAGTTTGGATTCTTACGACATACTAAATAAGATCAACATATACAAGTATGAAGTAGTTGTACATCGTACGTACATTGTTAATTATTTCCAACGTTATATATATAAAGCTTCGGTCCGTGATGAACACTAAAAATTGTACGAATCTGTCCCATCTCCTCTAGAGAGAGGTGGAAGCTTTACCTCGAAAGACTAAATTTCTCAGATTCCACGCTTTGCTTGACGGAGGGTGGAGGATAAGAAGTCCCAAGGATGAAGGGTATGGATATGATTCGTATTGGATTGGGTGATAGCATTCATGGTCTCCAGAGCAACTCAGTGGTCCCTGGAATGTAAATTTTAATTTGTAGTTATCCACTCATAATTTTTTTTTCATGCAATTTAGCCACCGTACTTTGCATCATCATAAAAAAGGTAGTCGGATTTACTAAAAACAAGATGTCCGTCCCCGGTCAAATGGGGTATCGATTGGATTATGGGCGTTGAGGTGGATGCGGTTAGCCCCTCTAGACGATCTCATGCAATTCCTGGTCCAAGACGATTATGACTAGAAGTGGCCAAGACTTGGTGAACATCTCAAGCTCATGGATGGCCAATGAAATTTACGTTAAATCTAACTTTCATTTCACAATTCTGCAGTAGGGGATGAGGCATGCATTTGATATATATATATTTTTTTTAAAAACCTATGATCAGTGCGTCGTATGTGTGCAACAAAAGGAGCTGCAGCCCACAGATGAGCTCCAAAACCACCAAATTTTGAGAGTCTTTTTGCTGCAATCAGCTTTGTCAGATGAAGCGGTAGATCCAAAACTTATGTTATAGTTGCTTGGCAGCTACTTGTATATGATTTCTTAGGGGAAATTTGTTCTTTTTAAGTATGGCTCTGAATACTTAGTAGAATGTGGAAAATTGATCCCACCACCACTATCATTAGTGGACCTTTAGAAATACATTATTGTATTCTTAGATTATTAATGGGTTGACGAACTCTCATGTTTGAATTTGAGGGCCATGTGCTGTTCCCTTCCTTCTTTAGGTAAGAACTAGAGCGAGGAACTATTTGATTTCCTCTAAAAGCCTCCCTTCGTCACGTCAACATTGGCCGCTAAAATATCAAATTGACCTAAATTAATATGTACATTTTTTTACCAGTTTGACCTAAAAAGTGACATCGGCGATACTTTGGCCTAAAAAGTGATCACAAATCGGTGACAAATAAGCCTACCCGTCACCAAAAGTAATTTTTAAGCAAAACATTAAGAGATTTTTACATATACCCTTCAAATTTCTCGTATTTTCTGATTTAACCCCTCAAGTTTTAAAATTTGTAAATAGAACTCCTCTCTTCTTCCCTTCCCACCATCTTTTCCCTCATCCTTCCCTCATCTCTTTCATTCTTTTCTCTTTCCAATCGTCACCATTCTCTCTCCTTTCTTTCACCTCAATCTTAAGGAGATTGGTTTTTTAATGATTAAAGGCCGAAGAAGGAGTAGGAAGCAAGGAGAAAGAGAGATTGCAAGAAGAGAAGAGTGAAGTTAATATTATGGTGGAATGTTTTGTTGGAAATTCGTGCTAATTACATGCAAAATACACAGCGGAATACTGTATGTATAATAATACTAAGCATGTAGAGAGCATGAAAACAAACTAGGACCATCCTAATTAAATCTAGCATGATCCCCATAATAAAGAGAGCAACCAAGAGCTTCGAAGGCTTACTTTCGTAGCGTGATTCGATGGTAGATCGAACAACCCCTACCTCGTTCTCCTTGTTGTTGTAAATCTCCTTGTAGTGGATCTCCAAGTTTTCAAGTGAGCTTGATAAAATCGGAGAGTTCTTGAGACGCAAGGCAAGACATCCACCCTAGGGTACTTTAAAATCCTACTACTTCCTCTTACTCAAACATTGCTAGAGTTTAGTAAGAGGTAGAGCTTTTTTTTATTCTCTTACGGAAAAAAACACTTAGCCAATTTTTCATTAACCTCTCCATAAGAGAGAGAGAGAGCTCATATATAGAGTGAGATATGTCATGACTCATCTATGAGTCATGCAATGACTCATCTCATGAGTCATGCAAAGAGTCATGGAGAATCAAAATCATGTGCTAAAACCATATTCCCAAACCATACCACCTTAATGACTCATCTCATGACTCATTAATCAAGGTATAATGAAGTGTGTATTTTATAAATAAAAATACCATATTAATACGGTGTTTCATAAATACGGTACTTCGTAATTTTCCAATCATTATCTAATAAGTCATCATATGACAAAAAAATTAATGAGTTGACCAAAAGTCAACTGTTGACCAAAAAGTCAACCAGCTGACTAAAAGTTAATTTTATGGAAAAAATAGTGGAATACATTTCTTAAGCACATAGCATTCTGATTTTACCGATACATATAACCGTTTATGTGTATCCGGTGAAAATTATATATGCGTACCAATCATACACATTAACTCTATAAATTGCATTTCATAGGATTCAAGTACGCGCTTGGTGTGACTCTAGGGCCCAACTTAAGACTCGGTAGTGAATTATATCCACAAGTACAACAGAGGTGCTAGCTACACATGAAGACTATCCGGGTATAAGTTATGATAAATATCTGTAAGATGCTTACACAATTTTATCAGGACCATTCAGTGATAATATTATACAGTCCGGTCTCTTCGTCAAACCATGTCAAACTATAGAGCCTAGGGTATGGAAAACTGTCAAACCCTAATAGCTAGATTAGTATTTGTTGATATTAAACTCATAACCTTTAAGATCAAACTGACACTCAGTTTATCTTATTTACCTTGGCCAAGGATTTCTAGGCTATAGTTATATCAAACAATCTTATATGACATCAATCCCCTATACTGGGAGAGACGAATCCTATCTTGCCATTTTAATATCTACTAATGTTTCGAGATGCACCCAACAAAAACCTTTATGCACAACTCAATGAGAACTATGGTTAGGTAAAAGTCTAAGTACACCTATACTGACATGTAAGATATTGCACCCATGCCTCAGGTCAAGAGACTACTTTGTACTATCACTTGAGAACTTCTATTTGACAGTTAAGTATAATTACCAACTAGACATTCTCGGTGAGTCGTTCAGTCAACTCATTCACTAATAAGTCAATGTATATTGTATCTTGATGTCTCAGCATCAATGATCTAAGAGATGGATCATCGTCCTTCTAAAGGACAAATAGAGTATACACTAGTCTTTACCAAAGTGATGATGTCATATCTCAACACTTCATCGACTAGAAATATTATAGAATATACGTTAGCGACTAATCAGATCTCTTCTTCATTACGATTACTATCGAAATTCTGATAGTCTAGTATCATTCTAAGGACTTTATCTGTATTTAAAAAATACCAGATAAATACTGACCAAAATAGTATACTATTGTTTTGAACAAGGATATTATATTCATATAGGTCCTATTATAATATACAATTATTATCTGCAGGGCACCTATATCTAACATGTTTAATATTGGGGGAATAGAGATTGCAAGTAGGAAAAGAGAGTGGGAGAAAGGAAGAGGAGAAGAAGGAAGAGGGAATAAGAGAGAGGAGGAGATGTTGGAGATTTGAATTAAAAGAGATTGGAGGAGATGAAGGAAATGACAAAGTAAGAGTGATGATCCATGAAATGAGGTAGAAGGAGAGAGAGTGGGGGAGGAGGGAAGGTTACGGTATAGGAACAATAAGGGAATGGAGTAGATGGTGGGAAAAAGGAGGGAGAAGATAGTGGAAAAAGTGAGTTTTTTATTACAAATTTCACAATTTAGGGAAAGGAGATGAGTTAACTTAAAAATCATGAGAGACTGAGGGGTCTATATGTAAAATTCTTTAATTTTTTTGCTCAAAAATAACTCCAGTGATCAGAAGGTCTATTTGTTGCCAATTTGTCACTTTTTAGGTTAAAATGTTGTCGGTGTTACTTTTAGGCTAAATTGGTAAATGAGTGTCACTATTTACGCCAATCTGGTATTTTACCCTTTAATAATTTTAGATGTTAGTTGTTAACTTCGTAGAGTCCTAGCAAAGCAGACTATGTTAGGATGTAATATATATAACATCTCTTATTTGAGTAATAGCAAACTCTAATTTGATGCTAATATTGATTTGATATATTATAGTATACGTAAATATAGATTGGGATATGTGTGAGGAGAAACGATGCGAGAATTAGCTCAAAAGCTGATTTGAGCACAAACATCTTCTATTGTAGCTCTTGGACCATCGATGGTGAGTAGTGACCATCGATGGTACAATGACTCGTCGATGGTGTAAAATCCAGATATATGAATATCACCGATGAGATTCTCAACTAACTAAGGTCTCTTGACACCATTGATTATTGAGAACCACCATCGATGATAAACACGACTGATTGCAAATTTTTAGATTTAATCACAGTCATTCATCATTTATAATATCTATAATATCTACTATGTTTAAGATATCTCTTTCCTAACCTATTTGGAAGATTATACTTCTGAAAGAAAAAGAGAAAACAAGGAGCAATTTTAGGGTTTGAGTTTTGAGAGATCAAGTTGAAACTTTTGATTCCTCGAGCCTCATTAGAGTCTCACTCATCGTACACAACATCTTCGAGTTGTTTCAGTAAGAAGAGTTGTCATTGGATTGATCTTCTTCGTCATTATTCATCAAGCTTCGTTCATATCCTCCTA